CTCCAGCTACAGCCACAGTCACAGCGTCACCTCACCCTCCACGCCCTCGTGTGGTGGTGTCGGAGCCTTGAGCGGCGCACAGCAGGACATGGCGAGAGCGCATGAGGAGGTGACGGTGCTGTTCGCAGGTGGGTTGCCGGTGGGGTGTGTCTGAACTGTGTGTGGCGGTGGTTCGACATAGCGCCCGGGGTATTACGACAACGGTTTCAACTGACGACAACGGTTTGCCGTACTTTACCGTAACTGACGCACGGTCCCTCGCTTACATAATATACAAAATACACTGTCACCATGAGCTGTTTACCTTTTTATTATAATGGATGCTTGAAGTTTTTGAATTTTTTAATATTTTGTTATACTCGTAAAGTTGTGTCTTCAGTAATCTCTTCCTACCCCATGTGCACGTGTAATTTACGTGATGATGGTTCGAATTCTCTATGTACCGTACACAGACATCGCCTCCTTCACCAGCATGTGTGGTCAGGTTCCGTCCCCCCGAGTCATGGTGTTCCTCAACGACCTCTTCACCACTTTTGACCAGCTGGTGGAGAAGCATCAAGTTTACAAGGTCGAGACCATCGGAGGTACTGCATTGTACGGCATCGTCGTACATATCATAGTACGGAAGTGTACGGGACTGAGCAAGGCCTACGGGCTACAGGTCGACCACTGGCCTCCAGGGCAGCACGGGGGGGGGCCGTACGTAGCTCCACGTGTATGTAGCTCGAAGCTTGCTGCGACAGATGATGTATTTCTAGGCAAGTCCGCACATCGTACGTGAAAACCTACCTTTCCACAAGCTTCGCAAGATTTTACTTTAATTCAGTTTTCGGTTTCTGTTGGCAGCGCATGTTGCCGGGCCCTCCTCCCCTTCCCCTCCTCCCCCTCCCCCACCNCCCCCTCCTCCCCCTTCCGGGCGTNAATCTGTGTATCNCTCTTTCCCTTCTCGCCCCANTCAACGTTGCCAGCCGAATGGAGTCCACGGGTGTACCTGGTGCCGTACACATTTCTGCGGCCACGCGGGCCTTATTGGGCGCCGCGGCCGACGGGTTTCTTTCCACGGGGGGAATTCCCGTCGAGGGCAAGGTACGGATTGGGGAGTTGGCAGTTGACGGTTGGGAATTGATGTTATTGTTCTTTCCTGGTATTATTCGCACTTTATTCGCACTGGTCCACATGCCCACGGATCCGCCACCACGCAGTTCTCTTCACAGAGTTGTTTACCGGAGAAGTGAGGGGGGGGGCATATTCCCTCACTCACTCACTCACCCACTCAAAGAATACCAAGCGCAGCATCATTCGCGTATTGGGGTGTGAAACGCAGGTCTTTCATGCAGGCCGCATCATGTCATCCTTCCCTGCGCCTCCCCCCGGGCTCACCAAACCAGGTAACCCATGCGGTTGTATGACGTACGGCGCAGGGGTTCATGCTCACGTACGTGTACGACCCGTGCGGCGTCACTCCGCAGCGCTCTCAAACAGTCTCCCGAACTGGATCAGGTGCGGAACAGGAGGGTGCCGCTGTGGCGGGTGCCGCTAAGCTATCGGGTGCCTGTCCTGATCCTGATCTACCAATCTTGACCGCTACAGCCGTGCCGGGTATTGGTAGGGAAGGTCCCCAGGTCCCGGGGGGAGAAGCATCTAGCGGTACACCGACAGAGGCGCCGCCTCCGTTGCCGCAATAGGCCATGTACGACATGACGTACATGGCACCCCAAGTGGTATGATTGTGCGCGCGTGTTGCAAAAGCGAGGACCGCTCTCTTGCGTGTGTGCCATTCCCGAATGTATATTCGACGTTTGTTGTACTGCAGCATGTACGGAGTACGGAATACGGCATAATACGGATATGGCACGTGTTTGTACAATTGTGTCAGTTTTGTACTTTGGCTCGGTCCTGCGATGTCGGTTCCCGCAGCTGTGAGGGAAGGTGTTTTCCGGGCGCGTGCAGGAGGGTCCTTCGAACCCGCCATGAATATCTAGCTAGCTAGCTAGCGGGATTGTGTCTTGTAAATTATTTTGGCGCTGGCAAATATTTGTCTTGGCAGGAGTTTGTGACTTGGCTTTGCGAGGGTCGTGGTAAGGGTCGCTGTTTGAGAGAGGAGGAGAGGGAGAGCGAGACAAGTGTCAATGGAGACGCGCATTGGATTCGGTTTGGGGTTGGGTTCGGAGCTGTGTATGTATGTCCTGCACATGGGTTAAGAACTGGCATTTGGGGTTTGGGCTGGAAATAGGTTTGGTCACATGACACCTGCGTACGACACACGCCATGAGACACGCACACACACACACATGGTTGCTTCTCTCCGACAAAACACACAATATAAAATGTTCGTACTTACTCGTTACGTTGAGGACTGCATACTGCGACGTTCGGCTTGGGGGATATACGGTTGTACGACAGCACGGATGTACGGATGTATTCACAGATTTGTATGGACGGCGGCTGCGGTGGGAGCGAGGAGGGGTCCTATAACCCACACGCACCCGCGCGCGTGGCCGGGGGAGTACGTGCGCACGCCCCTCACTTGGTGCTGGCGACGGGGGGGGACCCGGGAGGTGGCTCAGGCTGGTGGCTCAGGCTGGGTGCGTTACGGATACTGCGGGACCGCATACCCCCGGGGGGGGTAGGGGCTCGACATCAGAGGGGTCTGACACGTGCTGCCGTTACACGCACATACCGACACACAGCCGAGGCGTTCAACCGACAGATGAGGCGAAAAGGTGTAGGTAGGTACCCGCTTGTACTGTACTGCATTCCCTAAGTTCACATTAAAAAACCCGGATCCCCACACTTGCACTTCGTAGGAAAGGACAGGCAAGGCCAGCGCATTATAAAATGACAAGTTGAGCTTGGGTACGGTACGTTTCTGTTCACGACAGAGAGAAGTGCAGGCGGCAAACCGTTGGCCTGTCCCGTAGTGCATCCCGAGGTACTGTGCCGCTTCATTATGGGGCAATACACGCAACATCTCCCCGCCCAGCCGGTACACGTAACCCACGAGCGACCCCCACTCAGTAGGTGTGCCCCTGAAGACAAGCACCTCACACTTGGCTCCGTTAGCAGCCATCCCAGTCGCCTTGCAAAACATCTCGAGTAACCAAGAAGGCATTGTGCCCGCTCACAGCCAGTGGCTAAGAGTGATGCATCATCAACAAACAGCAAGTTAGTGAGCTCACTGTCCCCCGAGTGCAGTGCCACGCTTTGGTCCTGCAGTACGGACCACCTGGGGGGGCGGTGCAGCCAGCAATCCTAATGTATGACCGTTAGGGTGGGATGTACAACCAACGGTCCGACGGTTGAATCGCCAAACCCATGTGACGAGCAAAACTGCACTTAAAGAGGGCTGAAGTCATGTTCCCAGTGTCGATAAGAATGGAGGCATCGGACTGGCACTCTTTACCTCGAAACCTCATAGATAAACCTTTAGAAACGGAGAAAGGCGAAGGAGGGAGCGACGTCAGCATCAGGAGCAGGTACCGGAGGGTCGTACCAGAACTCGACAGGATCAGTTAACCCAGCAGAGCGTCGCTTCCCTATCGCGGCAGCAACATCGAACAGCGTGGTACGTACGAAAACCACCTGATGTTGAATGCGGTGCGATGCTCTTGCAATTCAAGTAGTGCAACAGATACTCTCGAGCACGTGCAGGAGGCGGATGAACGACAACATAATGTCCGGCACAGCGAACTAAATTTGGGGCACATAGCTGATCAGAGTGAGGGGACAAACGGATCCCAAGTGAAGCGCGGACTAGTCAAACACTGAAGCTGCTCGAATTCGGAAGTGCAAAGTATGCGAGTCGAAGGGATGAGTGCAGAAGTTCGTCTTTGTGTTACAAGATTGACGAGGCTCGGCAATTAGAGCAGCAAGAACAGCAGCATCCTGATGCATGAGTTGCACTAATCACAAAGTCTGCAAGTCTGCTCACACACACAAACGAAACCCCCCGAACCGCATCATGCCAGGCCATGCCCCCCAAACCGCATCATGCCTGGCCATGTCCCCCAAACCCGCATCATGCCAGGCCATGCCCCCCGAACCGCATCATGCCAGGCCATGCCCCCCAAACCGCATTTTGCCAGGCCATGCCCCCCAATCGCATCATGCCAGGCCATGCCCCCCAATCACATCATGCCAGGCCATGCCCCCCAAACCGCATCATGCCAGGCCATGCCCCCCAATCACATCATGCCAGGCCATGCCCCCCAATCACATCATGCCAGGCCATGCCCCCCAAACCGCATTATGCCAGGCCATGTCCCCCGAACCGCATCATGCCAGGCCATGCCCCCCGTGCACGATACCGTGGTAAGGCGCCTCACGTACGTCGCAGCCTCGTTAGAGCTGAGGCCGCGCAGTCCTTCAGAGCTTCAAACACAAACTCTGCGGAGAGGAGACCCTGCACAAGTACAGATGACACGGTTAAACATGCGGATTCCAACGACTAACGGTTGCATTTAAGCGCGAACAGCAGTTAAAACCCTAAGCTTGCGGCCCAAACTTACCGTGCACGATACCGTGCTAAGGCGCCTCACGTACGTCGCAGCCTCGTTAGAGCTGAGGCCGCGCAGTCTTTCAGAGCTTCAAACACAAACTCTGCGGAGAGGAGACCCTGCACAAGTACAGATGACACGGTTAAACATGCGGATTCCAACGACTAACGGTTGCATTTAAGCGCGAACAGCAGTTAAAACCCTAAGCTTGCGGCCCAAACTTACCGTGCACGATACCGTGCTAAGGCGCCTCACGTACGTCGCAGCCTCGTTAGAGCTGAGGCCGCGCAGTCCTTCAGAGCTTCAAACACAAACTCTGCGGAGAGGAGACCCTGCACAAGTACAGATGACACGGTTAAACATGCGGATTCCAACGACTAACGGTTGCATTTAAGCGCGAGCAGCAGTTAAAACCCTAAGCTTGCGGCCCAAACTTACCGTGCACGATACCGTGCTAAGGCGCCTCACGTACGTCGCAGCCTCGTTAGAGCTGAGGCCGCGCAGTCTTTCAGAGCTTCAAACACAAACTCTGCGGAGAGGAGACCCTGCACAAGTACAGATGACACGGTTAAACATGCGGATTCCAACGACTAACGGTTGCATTTAAGCGCGAACAGCAGTTAAAACCCTAAGCTTGCGGCCCAG